CCCTTTTTTTTTTATATCATATATATATATATATATATATATATATATGTATATATATATATATATATATATATTTGGAATCCACTGATTGCGTACGATTTATTCTAGTGTTAAATACATAAATTTTAGCATTGGTTATCACGGTTATGTATTAAAATTGTATATTTTTATATTTGTTGAGAATAATATAGTATAAATTTTTTGTTTATTAATAGAATCGCATCACCATGAATCTTCGTTTGGGAATGATATTCACATAAACTTTTTCGATTTTCAACGAGATAAAGTCGGTCCGATAAACTTTCAGATTATAAAAAATCATGAATAGCATTAACATGGTCCAAAAACAATTATAGATGCAGATTTAGACTCTGTCTATATCCGATAAAGTTTTTTTTATCCCTTTAATTCTCACAAACCCATATTAAAAAAAGAAACTGTAAATTTTATTCTTTGTTTAATAAAAAAGATTTTTTTGCCATTTACAAATACCTTTTTGATAAAACTTTATTTAACATTCGCCAATACATAAAGGATCTAAGTGACGCATGGATAGAACTAAAAAATCTCAAAATATGTTACAATAAAATGACCTCATTTTGTTAAAAGAATATAATTTGATAATATATAAGTTGATTTATAAGAAATTAGATGTTTCCTTGTCCGGTAATAAATCTAAAATTTCAGTTATTATATAATAAAATGTTGAAAACTAACAATAAAATAATAATATACGTTTTTTTAACCACCACAAAATATACCAAACGTCGTTACTTTGAATCAACGTATGAAACGATCAAACACTGACCTCAAAATTTGTTCTATTTCTAAAACAGAGTTCGATTCTTAATATATGGTTAAGAGACGAATATAATTAACCATCTACGTCAATCTTTAAAATTATAACATATATTTTCAATAATATGTATATTGATATACGTTTTTTGGAGTTTTTAAATATATTTGTACTAATGCAACAAATATATTAATAAAAAATAGGACCAATAACGTGTATTTGCCATTTGCTTTTGTTTGCATTTTCTAGTTTATTTTTTTCTAAAGGTCAGACAAAAAAAAAAAGGTTAACCTCAACTCATCGGAAAGATACTGGAGACATTTAAAATAGGGTTTGTCATGTATCATGTATGCGTATGTCTACGGTTATAATATAAATTCTCTAAAAGTTTCAACTTTATGACTGTACAGTTGAGCAATAAAGAAGAATATATAACATTTTTTTTTTTGCGAACGGATAAATAATATGATAATTTATTTGGGAAAAAAAGAGATGAATCATATTCATATAAATTACAAATTAGCGCACGTGGCAGTCCTTTTTATTGAAAATTATAGTGGGGAAACAATGTATTAATCATTTCAACACTTTTAACCTTTTTATGCAAATGAGATCCAATTTTTTTATATAGCTAACCATTTTACAAATTAGCCAAATTATAGGGGGAAAAAAGAAAATGTATGGAATATGGAATGGTAATTGTTAATGGATAAAAAGAAAATGGTGATAGTGGTAAATGGTAATAGAGGAACAATAATAGGTTATTAGGGTAGATGGAGTAATGAGTATGGTGAAAGTAAAAAGAGGGTGAAGAGGAGTGAGTCACCCAGCCCAATGGTTGTTGAGGTTATGGGTTTGAAATTCGGGTATGAAAACTCTCTTGAATCGATTAGTTTCGATTGATTTATCTGCTTTGCGTAGTTTGTCAGTTGTTGCGCAAGATCAGAAGTTTACTGTCCTCGATATCGATTGTCCGACCCGAGGGCTGGGGGCGATACGGGGTCTATCCCGAAAGACCGTATGATAGATTTCCGCCGTTATAAAAAAAAAGTTGAAGATTAAATTTGAGATAAAACAGTTGAACTAACCACATTAAATATTATTTATTACTTATTAATTTCATAGGTCAAATTATCTAATTAAAATTTTAAGATCAAATTCACTGTTAGAGTCGTAACATAATTAAATAACTATTAATTATCTAGACCAACTTATTTTTTTATATGATATATAGTAAACAACTTTTTAAAATCCATTTTGAAAAAGAAAATTTTATAATACATAACTGAAATTTTATCTAGGGTGGTAAAATGATAAATTGAAAGTATGAAATTAGAGGTGTCAATTTTCGTTCGAAATTAGAAATCCGTTCCGATCCAATCCAAAAAATAGTGGACTTCAAACCTAAATATTTCGGCCTGAAATTTTTGAGACTTTCAAACCGCACTCATATCAAAGAACAATTTTACCGAGTCGGTCCAACTCCAACCCAAAGTTTATATGGTCAGACTTCAGGTTTGATTATTTAAACCCAAAAAAAAATCCGACCGCGTCGAATCCGAGCTTGAAACTCTCGGGTCGGGTTAGGTCGAACCATCACGATTGTTACCCCTATATAAAATGTTCTTCCATCCGAATTCCGAAAACCTCGAGTTTACTAACGAATATCCTTATATTATCATTTTAATTCGAATTTAACTAACCGAGATTCTTTTTATTATTATGACAAACAATCTTATACTAAGCCACTACAAATATTAGTACGCATATTGTGAAGTGGGGAGTTCATATAGCATGATTTTAAATATTTTTATTATATTTATTTGGTTCACGAATTGAGACGATACAGGATGAGGCATAGTTTTTTTCTGGAAACGGGTCTAAAATGAACTGATTTGGATTGACCCGGAAGGAGCCGGGCCAAATTGACACATTTTACATAATTTTTTAAAAATAAAATTCAGATATTCGATTATCTACCTGTATTAAGAATTAATTCAATCTTAAAGGAAAGGTGTTTAGTTTTCATAGAAAATACACTGCATTTCCAAGAAGTATTTGATACTCTAAAAGATACAACTTCATACGCACTTTCATGAAAATAAAAAATAAAATTATTTTCGTCAAAATATAATAGTTAAATTATATGTTTTGATTATATTTGGTAGGTGTTTTAATCATATTTTTTTATATTGGTGTTTCCCATTTTTTGGATTTGCCCTAATTATAATCATAATTATTTTCACACCCAATTCAATAATCAAATTAGTTAGTTTTAAGCAAACATATTGTCGAACATAATAAAATAGATTAATGAATAATGTACGAGGGAGCTAAACTCAGTGAAACAGATAAACTTAAAAGGAATTAAAATACAAAACATAAATAGAAAGATTAGGAAAGGGATTAATTACTACAAAACATAAATAGAAAGGTTAGAAATCAGAGAGACCAGGAACAGTGAAAGTCGCCGGTAAGAAATAGCAAAACCGCAGCGGCATGGCAAATTAGGAAACGGAGTTTACAAATTGAATTGACTCTCTCTCTCTCTCTCTCTCTCTCTCTCTCTCTCTATGTGTGTCCTTTTACAAAGAATGCTTTTTGCATGACAAGACAGCCGACCCATTTGGCCCTCTCTTTTCTCTTTCTCTGTGATCAGATTCGCCTCACTCTGCCCATCTGATTCGCTGCTGAGTCATCTCTCTCTCGTCCCTTGTTAGGGGCACTGAAATCGTTTTTTGTTTCGATCCTCTCGCGTAACCCCAAGGCTCTTCACGGGGAACTTCTCTTGAATTCTGGGTCGTTTTCATTTAGTCATCATCTCTCAGGTAATCGCTGTTTCTAGCCACCTGGATATGGTTCTTCGTCATGTTCCGATTCTGTGTTTTCTGGGTCTCTTCTGGCGTTCGTTTTAGTGTACGAAAGTTACTAGATTTGGGAAATTTGTGTTAGGTTTTAGTCTTGTGCTTGATGGAAGTGTCCTTTCATGTCAATTTGTGTTCCTTGTTCTAGGTGTCGATAATATCTATTTGAGGGTTTTCCCGAATAAAACTTCTGTTTTGTGTCCAAGTTCGTTCATGTCTCAGTCACGACCAGCTTTGGTACCTCTCTGGTTCCGGTGTCACTGTTTGTACTGATCCTGGTTTTTAGGGGTTTGTTCTAAATTTCGATTGCTCTGATAAAGCTACCCGTTTTGTTCAATCGGTATGGTTTTTGTAGATTTATCTGAAAGCGGGCTTAGGACATGTTCTTTGCATATTTTTCTTTCTTTTTGGGGGTTTGTTTTGGAATTTCGAACAGCGCAAAGAGTTGCTTGATTTCTTGATTCGTTAGTTGTCATCTTCTGGATGATGGAACTCGACTTAGATTTTGGCGTGTTTCTGGAAAAGTTTGTCCTTTTGATCTAGGGCTTTCTGGGTTTGCTCTAGAATTTTGAACAGTAGCAAAAGTGACTAGATTTAGGAAATCGTTTGGATTCCATGTATTTGGAAGGTGGAGTATGCCATATGTCCATTACGGTTACATGGGTCTATTCTGAAATTTTTTTCTTGCCACTTTTAGGTTGGAGCTAAAGCTGTTTTTAATTCTCCTTTATAGATCGTATTACTTAACCATTCACCATTTTTTTCTGTTAGTGGGAATGTAGCTTGGTGTCTATTGATCAGCATGATGATGTTTCTGCTGGTGACAGTTATCTCTGTTTGGTGCCTTGGTTTCATCTAATCTATCTGCATTTTCATCTGGAATTCAAAATACCTGACATTGATATTCGTTGGAGATTATATTGAGTGTTGAGATTGGAGAATCTGATCGTGTCTGGTTTGTCACATTTATCTTGTCTTGAAAACGTGTCGGTTCTTCCCATGAAATTGTCCTGGTTACTGAACATTCATGAAATTCTTTCAAGTTACCTTCTAGGTTCCCCTTCTTTTTATGACATGCAAATCGACGAGGTCTTTCTGGATTCGTGAACGATGTCTGCTATGTTAATTTTACATGCTCGTTTGGTAAGTAGATAAATATACTTGTGACTTGTTTGGATGTTTCTTTCTATGCAACCTCGGGATCAAAATCGTTCTTGAGATATTTTCGGTCTTTTTTCATTACAAACTTAATCTAAAGTTATTTAAACCCTCACTGGAAATGGGAGTATTAGTCATTGCTCTGCATGTTATTGTGAACTCATGCATCCATGATGGTTCAAAGCAAATGGCGACCTATGTAGTTTAAAACTCATTGTTTTTGTTAAGCAGAGTCTATCCCCGAAAAGAATATAGGGTTTTAACTCTATTCGGGGTTGTTTGGTAAGTCTTTTTCAGTGAAGCTTCTCGATTTAATAATTCTTGGAGTGTCTTATATTATGGAAGCTGGTTTTGTACTTTTACTGGATTTTTCTTATTTTTATTCACTTGAGATAATATGTCTGCAGGTTAGAGCTCCTGTTCCCTGACTAATTGCATGTAAGCTAGTTGCTGCATCCGGGAGAATGGGTGCATCAACTTCTAGAATAGAGGAGGATAAGGCTTTGCAGCTGTGTCGTGTGAGGAAAAAGTTTGTTCGTCAAGCTCTCGACGGAAGATGCTCGTTAGCTGCTGCTCACGTTTTATATGTTCAGTCTCTTAAAAGTACAGGAACTGCCCTAAGGAAATTTTCTGAAACCGAAATTCCAGTTGAATCTTCCCTGTACACGTCCACTAGTGCAACTCCAGAACCTCTTGCTTTAACCGAGAAGTCGGTTTCACATTTGTCATACTCTCCGTTAAGAACCTCACAGTTTCATGAAACATATTCTCCTTCCCCGTCCCCACCTCCTCCCGGTTCCAGCCAATTCCACGTAAACCATATGAAGTTTAAGGGATTTTCTTCGAAAAAAGTGGAAGAGAAACCACCTGTCACTGTTGTTGCCACTGTGACATCATCTAGTATCCCACAAAGTACTACACCAAGGTCTGTAGAAAAGATTGAACGCACTCTTTTTGAAGAGTCTTCTTCCATGCCACCCGAAACACCTCCTTGGGACTATTTTGGTCTTTCCCATCCAATAGACAGCCAGTTTTTTTCTTCTCGTGATGGGAAGGAAGGTTTCACCGGAACGTTCGAGAATGGTGATGAGCTGAGACATCTCAGGGAGGAAGAAGAACTCCATCCGGAGCTGGAAGATGGTGAAAAGGAAGATTCTCGGGAATCAGAGGATGAGTTTGATGAGCCCTCAACTGATACACTGGTTAGAAGCTTTGAAAACTTCAACAGGGTGCAAGATCACAATTTACAAAGTCCTTTACCTAAAAGGGGGGAGGAATTGGAAGGCGAATACTCAGACGAGGAGAAAAACAAGACTCCTGATTTATCGCCATCTGTGACACCTACTCATATCCCCTCTAAGTTGAGCAAAACACCCAATACCAAAGGAGATCCGATGGAGAACAGGCTTCCGATGAGGGACTTTTTGTCAAGCATGAAAGAGATAGAGATGCTCTTCATAAAGGCTTCAGAGTCTGGGAAAGAGGTTCCTAGGATGCTTGAGGCCAATAAATTGCATTTTCGTCCAATATTTCCGGCCAAAGAAAGTAATCTCTCTCTCTCTCTCACACACACACACACAAAGACCTACTTGCACACAAGGTCATGATCTAAAAGATATTTTAGAGGCTTATAAAGGTCGGAGTTGTTGATGTATATACCGATCGATCATATAAGAAAAATTCTGATTTCTTCTGATGTATCATACTATCATTTCTGGGTCCAATAGAATTCATGGGTATAGGAAGAAGCCCTGTCAAATAGAGATTTTTTCCCGACATTTACTTAGTAAATTGATCCACACGTGGCTAAACTAAAATAGTCATCTTGTGGCTAGCTGGTATGTGTGTTATTTTTAACCATATTTTCACTATTTGCTTTTCCAGGTGGTTCTGGTGCATCATCGATACTGCAATCCTGCTTCTCTTGTGGGGAAGACCCCAAAAATGTTCAAGAAGGTATAGTTCTATCATTCGTTTCTACTGTGTTTTTTTAGCATAGATTGGACACGACTCATTCTTTCGACTTTTTGTTTGCAGAGCCTGCTCAGAATTCGGTGAAATACTTGACTTGGCACAGGACAGAGTCTTCCCGATCATCATCTTCGAGGAATCCTCTTGGAGGATTGAATTCCGATGATGTTGAGGAACTTAATAGTAATCTCTTTGAGAACATTTGTATGATTGCTGGCAGCCACGCCTCTACGCTAGACCGGCTTTATGCATGGGAGAAGAAGCTCTATGACGAAGTTAAGGTACTGAGTTATTGAAATTCTCACTCTTAATTCTTGTAAGTTTCTTGTCGACATGTAAATTGGATTGCAAATGCTTGGGTGGTATAGTCGTTTTCCCTTTGGTTCATTACTATCCTTTGCTCGTCACGATCGCTTATATCCATTAATAGGTTTCTTACACAAAAACAGTAAGCAGAGCCAATATCTTGTTTTCAAGGCATGGTATTCAGATCTATATAGATATAATCGCATATTATCAGTGAACAACATTGCCATCAAATTACGTTGTAAGTGTTCGAGATTTGTAAAGTGGCGCCTCTCATATTTGAAGGAAAATGATAGCATAACTTGGATCAATCTGCAGAAATCTAGACTGGATTCTGATTGCGCATTTGGTTACTGTCTAGAAGCAGTTCCACGACAATGTACTTGTGTAGGCCACTGGAACTAGTTAAATGAAATGAAGAGAAACGTGACAAATGTTTATTTATCTTGGGTTATAATTTTGGTTTCAGGCCAGTCAGACAGTGCGGAGGGAATATGACGAGAAGTGCAAAGTTTTGAGGGAACTTGAATCAGAAGGCAAGAGTTCGCATAAAGTCGACAAGACCCGGGCTGTTGTCAAGGATCTTCACTCCAGAATCAGAGTTGCCATCTATAGAATTGACTCGATATCAAGACGGATTGAGGAACTACGGGACATAGAGCTCCAGCCTCAGCTCGAGGAACTGATCGAAGGGTATTCGTTCTCTACCCGTGAAAATCATTCTTATGATTCAAAGTTTCCATCTTTTCACGGATATTGAATGAAGGGACGGAAAAATCATTCTCTCTTTTCCTGTGTGGTTTTGATGATGAGATAGGTTGAGCAGGACGTGGGAAGCGATGTTGGAATGTCACAAGCTTCAGTTTCGGATAATCTCCGGGTGTTTCAGGAACAGCAACATCAAACTCAACATGCAATCAGAGTTGCACAGACAAATCACGTCTTGTCTCGAAGATGAACTCAGAGCATTGGCCTCGAGTTTCACCAAATGGATCGCTGCCCAGGAATCGTATATCAAAGCGATAAATGAATGGCTGGGCAGATGCGTCACTCTCCCGCAAAAATCCTACAAACGCAAAAAGTACGCGGCTCAACTGTCTCTTGAAGACTTCGGCCCTCCCATCTATGCAACTTGCAGCTTCTGGCTGAAAAAGCTCGAAGCTCTGCCAACCAAAGCGGTCTCGGATTCCATCAAGACACTGGCTTCTGATGTTGCCCGGTTCTTACCACGACTAGAGAAGAATCAGACCAAGAAGACCGGGCATCCACATTCGGGTGAGAACGGGAACGATCTGACGGCTAATATGTTACGAGACGAAGCCTTGGATGATACCGGGTCCGAGTTTGATCGGTTCAGGACAAGTTTGGAAGGGTTTCTGGGACAACTTAACCAGTTTGCGGAATCATCCGTGGGAATGTATGAAGAACTGAAGCAGGATATCTGCAATGCCAAGAGGAAGTATGAGCAGTTGATGGCGTATTCTCAGGCCCAGGTTAGTTGATTCCTGGGAAACCGCAGGAAAATGAACTTCACGACGACAAGAAAGCGCCTGAATTTTTCGCGGGGAAAACAATTTTTGGAGGAAAAATCCCATATTTTTGAAATGATTTGGCATTTGTGTAAATGCAGAGATGTGTTATTAATTAAAGATTATTTGCTTTGAACGACTGTTATACAAAGTTCGTGAGCACATATTATGATTGTAGTGGGTTTGCGTTTCTTTTCTTCTTGTTAAAAATCTTCACACACTCACACACACACATACATATATATATATATATATATATCTATGTATGTATATATGTGCACACGTATGTATAATGATATACACTGACGTATTCGGCATTTATTTCACCCAGAAATAATACACCTATCATAAAACGTACAAAGAAAACTCTTGCGAGTTTATACTTTATAATATAACCGAATATATATTATTATAATAATTATATTAGTATTTGCGGATATTGCATGCATATGCATGATTCATGGTATGAAAGGGAATGAATGGTTGCGAAGTGGAAGAAGTTGGTGTCCCACATCGAGAGAGACGAGAGATGGAGGGGAAGAGGAGAGGGGGATAAAAGGCGAGAGGGGGAAGGGAAGAAGTCATACCTTTCTCGGCCTTTTGGCTAAGATCAAGTGTAGCTATCGGTCCACAACGATATTAACTCTATTTCTTTTAGGGTGTGAGTCCACATCGATAGCTTGCTATCGTGGTTCACGAGCGTCGCCCACGCGTTGCACTTCCGCGAGGGCCTTGGCGCAACCCATCCAAATATATAATCGTAAGTTTTAATTATATGGACCGCCCTCTGCCTTTATATGACCATCAATTTATGTAGGAAAACTTATAACGAATATAATTCCCAATTCAGTAAGACACTGTTTGATTCAGAGTCACTACAAAGACCTTATGACAACAACAACTAGAATGCTATAACATCACATGAACATGCAAGGAAACCAGAAGAGTATACGGATGAAACTACATACATATTAATATACTTCAAAACCATATAGACACATCTTGCTGCTGCTGCTCGGGCGTACCATCCATTCCCACAGCTTGCAGATCGTCTCGGTAGTCGAATGAAGCCAGATCAAATGGCGTAGAATCGAACACTATCTGAAACCCACCATTGTTGCTGTTGTTGTGGGCAGAGTCGGATTGGGGGTTCGGAAACTGGATCCCGTTATTCCCCTGCGAGAACATGTTCTTGATGGGCAAATCTTCGAGGAAGTTTCCCTCGATCGAGCTTCCCTCGCTGTGGTTGAAGTGTTGTTGCAGTTCATCATTCCGGGCTTTTGGCTGAAGATTTAAGCTCTGATTTTCCACCATTGATGTAGCTTGGTTGCCCTGGAAATTTCGGTCGTACATGGACATGAGCTCGGTGATCATCTTCTGCCCATCTTCGGGAACTCCAAAGCCCGACAGGTCGAACGGCTGGACAGGGTTCATGGCAGGGGCTGCAGGCCTCGGGTGAGTAAAGTGTTGCGGTATAACAACCGGCTTCACTTCACTGACATGAAACTCGGATGCTCCATATGATATGGAACTGTCTCGGAATGGACACACCAGTTGGTGGTTGTCCCTGGAAGTTCTGTCATGGAAAGCCATATTCATTTGGCTGTGAGGACACTGACGGTTCTCGCAGTTGAAGATTCTTCTGTCCAGCATCGAGTTCAGTTTCCTCTTTTTCATGAATTCTAAGTTTCCTCCAGTGGCTTCTTCTCCCTTTACAGGGAAATGCGGTTGGATCATATGCATTTTAGGCATCCCGAAGTTTCGAGGATCGATCACTTTCTCGGGTTTGCAATCTTCCACTTCATAACTGGGCTCCTTGTCGACACCTTCGACATCAAACTCGCTGCAGTCGTTAATGAGAAGAGACCCGCTTCCTCCAGAGGATGAGAGATGAGGACAGGACTCGGGATAAAGGTCTCGCGCCAGGGACTCTTCTTGGTTAATGATGGCCAGCCAAGTAGCACTCTCTTTGGCGGTCATCTTATCCTGCAAGCATTTGGATTGCCTCACGAGCTTACGGATTTTAGCAATGTCTGGAAACATATGCTTGATAACTGCAGTCAATACACCGACTTTCCACGCCTTTTTCAAATCGTGAGGTTTCTTGTACGGTGGAGGGCCTTGATCTTTTGGCAAACCGAGTTGTGGCCACCACTCCTCCTTGCCCGTTGGCCACCATGGCGGAGGAACTCCCTTCTCTAGAGGAAACCGCCTCTGTGGAGGATCACAGTGTTGCATCAAAGCTGATAAGAGCGAACCAAGGGTTGTATCTTGAAGTTCTTGCAGAGTGTGCGGTGTCGGCCCGATTGGATTCTTAACCTCATCACTCCCCCCGGGGATATTATTCTCGGCTTGGTACTTTGCTATAGCAGCTGGACCATTCCGGTCAAACCTCACCTTATCCTTCCACCACTCCCTGAGGTTATCAGAAGCACCTGTCACGGGTTTTCCGTTCTCGGGGATGATCCCGTAAACAAAACCTTGAGCTTTACACACTTCCATCATCTTCAGCATATACTTCAAGATCCCGTCTTGGGCCCTCGACATCTTCTTCCTCCTCGCTTGCTCTTGCGACAGCCTTTGCTTGGCGGAATCGACTCCTTCCCTGCTCTTGCTCTGCTCCTTGAGACGTTTAAGGCGGAGTTTGTCCCTCCACACCCTCCTCTCCAGCTCGTCCACATCGATCTCTTCTTCGTCGGTATAGTCATCCTCCACAACAACCAGCTCGACTTCTTCTTGCGGAGCAGCGCAGACATCTATTCCCCCGAGAGACACCGAGGAGACGAAATCCGCGTTGCCGCACATACCCATCTCGTTGAACATCATCATCCTTTTCACTCACGCTCCTCTTCGGACCCCTTGGGTCGGTTGCCGGATTGAACCTGAAAACACAGAGAACAGGGATCAGAGCATGAAAAGTGAGATCATGACCGACGGATAATTCATCTAAGATTGCAAAAAAGAAAGATTCCAGCTCGTGAGAAAATGAAGTGATTATTGCATCCATCTCCAAACTAGATTTCTTTAAAGGGAGAGACATCAAACAAAAATTCTTGATCCAACTAGAGACCCATGAATCAAAAGTATCTGACAGAACACGAGATGGATCGGCCATGTCCATCGGTATCTATGATACCAGATCGCAAGACTAGAAATAACACAAAAGATCATCGATCGAGCTAAACTCCAACAGAGACCAAGAAATCTAACTGCGGTACCATCATCATCATCATCATCATCACCACCAGATTGATTAAAAAAAAAGAGATAGAAACAGTATCAAAGCACGAGATGACGATTGTTACCTGGAAAAATAAGCAAAAACTTAGAGAGAGATAAAAAAGTGAACCCCGAAAATGGGTCTCTGCCTCCCTGACTCTCTCTCTCTCTCCTGTCTGCGAGAAACCGTTTAGAAAAAAAAAACAAAGCGAACCCTAATTCACCAGCCAAGAAGAAGAAGAAGAAGAAGAAGAAAAGTCAATCAGAAGTCACATGGGAAGAAAGCGACTTTTGGTTATGGATTTTGTGTTTTGAGTGAATCTGGAGAGGAGAGGAGAGAGAGAGAGCGGTCTACTTGAAACTAATAGATATTCTAACCAGTAGCCGATGGGAAAATAAAATAAAATAAAAATAAAAAATATGAAAGCCGACAATAAAAACAAATGCCAAATAAGAGTATAATTATCCCTTTCCATTTTAAAAACATTTGATCAGATCATTTAGGGGTTTGTAATAAAATAATTGGACACCTGAATTTGCTTCTTGTCCAGGTTGATTTTTTCATGTGTTGAAATTTCTGATTTTTCATACATAGCAAAAAATTCAAAATAATCAATAACATTTTAAAAGTAATTATTTTAATATCATATTTATTAAAAATATAAAGAAAAAATTCTAAAAAAACACCTAAACTTTTTTATCAAATAAATATTAAAATTTTTAAAAAAATATTAAATTTTTTAAATGAATACGTGAACTTTTATTATCAGAAAAATACAAAACTTTTTTTAAATGATTAAAACAATATATAAACTATCAACGATTGTAAAAAAACTAATTACAATAATTTGATGTGTTGATATTTTTTTATGTCACGTGAGTTTATTTTGATAGATGAGTTAAGTGTTAAAAGTTTAATATCTGATAAAAAAAACAAAATTTAGTTTTTTTTTAATTGAAAAAATCAGTATTTTTTTAGATTGTCTTAAATATAAATAAAAATTTACATTTGTAAATAAACTCTGTTCATGATTTGTTGTTTGTGATTTTGTTGATAATCTGTATTCACTACTCGCCGACCAAAATGTGTCGCCGTCTTGAGTTCTGTCGGTGAAGTTTGTTTACTACATGTGATTTACGTCGCTACAAAAAAAGACCAATTTCATGTTATGTTTTTTATTTTCTTTCATCCCTTCAACTAAAACAATTGTGATTTTTATTACATAATTAACTCAACGTGTTACAATTGATATTTTTATGTCCATTTAAAACTTGCAGAAAATAGTTTATACTATAGAATTCTAGATCCTCGATTTAACGGATCCGTTTTTATTACAGACTAATTTTAATCCATAGCGGACAAACCTCTATATAAAACTTGATTCATTTTTTCATAAGGCTGTGGGTTCGAATCCCAGATATGGTACTCTCCTTGAACCGGTCAGTTTTACGAGGTTGGTTTATCTGCTCGGCGTGGTTTGGTTACTGCGAAGGGTGGTGGGTTTTCTCAAGTCCGCGATGCTGTTCTGATACCGTTCTCGTCCGATCCATGGACTGAGAGACATTGCGGTGTCCGATGTCCAATCTAAAAGGTCGTAGGATCTGAAAGACATGGTAACACAAAAAAAAAGTTGATTCATTTAAACATTTATTTAAGGCATTAATACAGTAAAAATACACATTTAATCTCCGAGGTTTAAAAACACGAATTATTCTAACGATCTATGCGTGTCTCTAAGTATAATTGCGTCTATATTAGAAATAGTCAAAATTACCGATCTTGTGTCTAAAATCAAAGTGCAGATTATTTAAATTTACAATCGGATCCATAAATCATAGTTTTCCATAAATTAAAATTCAAATTATATTTTTTTATTCAAGATCACGATATTTAAATGTATAATCAAACTTCTTTATTATAATTATTAAAAATCATAAAATTAGTTTTATTTATTTTAATTTTCTTATAAAATTTGGGTTTACAAATTATTTTTCAGATTTGGAAAGAAAGACAAGACAAATACATTTATATATTCCACCAAAAAAAATACATTGAAATGTAATGCATATCTATTATCTATCGATCTACATCACTGAATATGGAATTTTGCGTGGCCCAGCATGGATGGGCCCACTCAATTTGCAAAGCGATAAGAACGAGCTTCCTCGAAGCAACAGCTAGGAGAGATTCCCTAGAATATTCTCCTTGATGTGTCGTTATGCTATTGATCGCTCACACTAGAAAGTTACACCCTGTCGTACCGGATAACTTACCTTCACGAGGAAACACGTCAAAGTTGTCCTAATTCACCCTTTTTTTTTTTCCCTAAATCACCCTCTTTTTTTCCCTAAAAAAAGCGAATTCCGTTAAAAAAAAAAGATATATTTACAAAAAAAGGAAATATAAAAAAAGAAAGTCCATAAAGTTTAGCACTAACAGTAAAATGTAGGCGAATTTCATTTGTAAAATTTTTAGAAGCATTCCGGAATTCCATTAAAAACATGGTTTTTACGCAATATAAATATATTTTTTATTTGTTTTATGCGCCTATTCTATTTCTAATTTTATGCATCCTTTTCAAAATACGAAATGAAATAATTACTGAAATATTCATTCATGAAAAATTCTAATTTTGAGTAATGTATGGTGCGCATTAAATATGCAAAATAGTGCGAAAGATGAAAAAATAGAGCTATCCTATGTATACAAAATTTGGCATAACAATTTAAATTCACAACATCTAGGTGTCAGTCTCAAACATTTTTGGGATCCTATTTATTTTAAAATTCAATTAATAAAAAATATAATTTATACAAGAAAAATGATTTAATAACATAAAATTATAATTTTATATAATATAAATATTAATTTTAAAATTATTTATTGCCTTTAAAAAATTATCAATTTATACAATAAAAATATTGAACGATAATAAATAAATATTGTAATCCACATATTTAAAGTTATTTTTCTAAATTTAGATTTATTTTATTCTTTTTTATAATTATATTTAATTATTATTAATAATAATTAATTTTTTAAAAAAATGGGATCTCAAAATTTATAGGAATTTATTCCTCTACTCTCATTTCTAAAAGACGATCCTAATAGGTGTGATATAATCCGAAATGTGATTTTACAAGATATTTGTGAAACGGTAATACGCATATTAGTTTTATAAACAAAATGGTGAACTTCTAAATAAGATCACATATCTTGGGAGGCTTATATATTTTGTATGTTCCTAATACAACAAATCGAATATTAATGTCAAAGTACGTGAATGTGACTATAAATGAAATATACAATTATACTTTGGGACATTCCATCCGTTTCTAAATAGATGATATTTTACAGAATATTTTTTAGATACATACTTTGTATAATTTTGAAAAAGATTTCTAAAATATTTTTTTTGATAATCCGAATGTTCACCGAACTTTTGATCCGACTACGTCTTCCAGATGATAAATTTGTGTGAATATCTCTCTCCAAACGAGCACTCAAACCCAGACTAGGACAGAATCAAAAAAGACGATAGCAAGAAAAATCCTTAAATAAACCAATAAATGAAACGTATAAATCAATAAATGAACTATTGTTTGCTCCGTAGCAATAATCATTCAACAAGAATAATTAAGACTAAAAAGAAAGGAAACAATATACCTCAATAAATATGTTATATTATCAACCGTTTATATAGTTAATGACAGTTGCAAAAAAATTACACAGGGAAATAAGAAATGACCACATGGGTTCCCTTCAAAGGCTTCTACGTAAATGATTACTATATGATTTTAAATATCTGAATTTTAAAAATTATATCTATTCGATTAAAGAGTATATACTATTTAATTTGAATATATATCCAGTTTCGAGTAATCAAACAAAATGTCACCACTAATCAGTGCTATTATATTTTATTATTAAGAACATTGGACAATTAGTGTAAATAAATTTTTTTTAGTGTAAACACTTTTCAAGCGAGATTTTTCTTTTATTCAATTTTATTTATGATTGTATAATATGTAGACGAATACGTCGCACAAGATGTGGATGGATATTCATGTGTGGTGAAACATTAACGAAAATTTGTGGAAAATATGAGATTTTTTCTAATAAATATTTTAGTTGTAATAAATATCTATTAAGGGTGTCAATCGGATCGGTTCGAACTCGTATTCGGTCCGAAAATTTTGGGTTTAGATTCGGACCGGTCCGATTTTTTCAGATATATATAACTAAGTCCGAAATCCAGATCTATATATTCCGAGTTCGGATTAGTTGATTCGGGCCGGATCGATATGTATAATTTTCTTTATAAATGTCATTTTTTTTAAATATACTTTCGGATTGGAAAAAAAATAGACTCATGCTAATTTTTTTAAGTCCGACCCAAAAAATTTATTTTTTTAGACCGAAAAATTTAGATTCGAAATCGGTTAATTTTTGGATTAGCCCTAACCTATGTCTCCGCGTATATATAAATAAGCCATTAAATACGACGAAAATGAAACGTCAGACTCGGTATTGGCCATAAGCTGATTTAATACCATTTTCCACTATTTTAATATAAAATCGCATTAAATTTCACGTCAAAAAATTGTTGAAACTTACAAATTCCATTTTTGTTGGGAGAAAAAAGAGGATATAATGAAAAATAAATAAAGTTAAACGACGCAACCTAAAACCCACCCACCAAAGCATCTCTCTCTCCCTCTTATCCACAGATCAAATTCAGAAATCCAAAAAATTTTCCTTTTCTGCTCATGTGATTTTTGATAGACCCTGTTAGCTTCTGAGAGTTTGGTGGAATTAGGGTTTTGGTTTCTGACAAGCTACCTGGCAGAAGGTGGAGATTCAGAGAGGCGAAGACCCATTTTAGGGTTCTGCTTTTTTGCAGCTTTTTTCCCTGGTGACACTCTTCTCTTGGCTTTCAACGTGGTTTCATTTGTTGCGATGATGTTAATGGTGATGATGGTGGTGATGGTGATAACCGTGGTTAGATTTCGTGGTATTTGATGGGTTCTTAGTTTGACTGATCATCTTCTTCTTTTTTGGTTGTTATTACTGATTTTATGATCTGGGTATTTCTCAGGGACGCGAATGATGAATTTAATCACGTGTTTGATTCGATGAGTTTTCCCCTTTGATTTCTGGGTAGCTTCATTTATCTGATCGTATCGATCAAGTTTGATTTTGTACGAGCTAGCATCCATTTCTTGGGATTATTCGCGTAAAATTTTCATCGGGATATTCGGATCTATTTCTCTTCTGCTATTAGATTCGCCGCAGAGTTTGACAACCTTTGATTATCTCATTCGTCATGTAATGATCGATTCCAGTCTGCAATTGAGGGCTTTATGTTCGATTGGTTTCAGTTTGGAATTGATTTGATTCTCAGTAAATTTATCAACTGTTCGTGCAATTGATTTTAAGTTATTGCAGGTGAAGAATTTGCCTTGGTTTGTTCTTGTGGGGTTTGGTTCTCATAATTTGTTTGATTGCTGTTTTTAGTGCAAGTCTCAGAAGAAACTTCTTTGTCCATCGAAGAAACTTACTGATCTTTGAATGTGTATTTGTTTTACAGGTTAAAGAATTCGATTGGCTGTGTTCTTGGTTTCAGGTCTGGTTTACGGGTTTCGGTTGTGAGCCAAGGGCTCGGAAGAAGAGCGGG